ACGACCTAACTGTCACTGATATGGCTGCGATATCATGGTCACTTGGCCGAATTTGGGTACGGTAAATACCTGATCGTATCTTTTTTGTATGCTTCGGCGGTATATCAGTATCGTGTGGTCTCGCCGTGGCTATTTTGGCTTGACTACCTTAAGAAAAAAAAAACCATGGCTAGACCAAACTCGCCTGATTTGCCGCCGAACCGTACCAAAAAGGTACGATTAGGTATAAGTATAATTCATGTAACATGACTGCAAGCAGACTTTGCTCGTCTTTGCTGGAAAGCGTGCAGCGCATGCGTCTTTTAGTCCAGTTCTCACTGCTGATAAAAAATCGCAGAATAACCGCGACCCGGGCTCAACTGTTTAAAGACATTCGCTCTAACCATCAGTTGCTTCTTTAGAAGTTTGGACCAATACGAGTCGATTGGGCTTGCCCCATCCTTATACCCCCAATCGTGTCCTCTCTTTAACCTGCTCGCGAGGACGCGCGATCACTGCAAGTTATTCTTACTTTTCCCCGCACGAAAAAGAGTGTGCACTTGACGCCAGATGCATCCTTACTCCTAACTGCTCGAATAGGCCCTTTGCCCGACCCGGTCACATGGTACAAAATCACACATGCTGGGACGCAAGTTGCACAGTGGGACTTCCAAAACAAAGACAGGTCAAGGTGGACTGGTAGGAGTTGCTTTGTTTTGGAAGTTCCACTGCGCAACTTGCGTCTCAGCATTGGTGATTTTGTACCATGTGACCGGGTCGTGCAAAGGGCCTATTAATGCGCAAGGACAGCGAGTTATGTTCTTGCAAAAACGGCGGCGTCTTACTACCGTCACTGCTTGAAATATTTGTCTGGAAACCGAGAAAAAAAGAGAGAGCACTCTAATGATCTGAGTGGCGTAAACAAAACAAGACTCTACTGTCTTAAAAGATATACAAGTGTGATGTCTCTATTCTATTGGTGGAATTAGTTGCCTCCTCTGAATACCTTTGCTACTTCCACCATCAGTCTCATAGTTTGTTCACAGCTTCTCTCTTCTCTCTCACGGTCCATTCTTGTCATTTGAAGTAAAAACTCCCTGTCTTTTCGATCGCTGTCCTCCATGTAATCTTTAAGAAATTGAAGTGGTTGACCTTTCTTGTCTTGCGCACCGCTATCGTTTGCACGTCTGCTATCTCGGTTCGATGCTGTCCCGTGGGTCTCTCCCATGCTGTTGTCATTGCTACTTACACCAGAGCCAAAACGCGAATCCCCACCGTGGGATGGAAGAGCCACACTGCCACTATTCCCCCTAGAGTTATCATGGGCATTTGCCTGACTGCTTTTAAACACCTTTGCTACTTCCATCATCATTTTCATTGTTCGTTCAAAATTTCTGTCTTCCCTCTCACGGTCCATTTGTGTCATTTGCAGCAAGAATTCTCTATCCCGTCTGTCGCTTTCCTCCATGTAACCCCTTAGAAACCGAAGCGTGGACACCTCTTCATCTTCTGCTGGCGCTTTTCTCTTGTTCCTTTTTTTGGGTGGCTCTCTCCTCTGTGGTATTTCTCTCTGATCAGGCAAGGCCTGGCTGACTTCGCCTGTCAACCCTGTGGTGGTGTCTACGTTAAGCGCTGCACTTGTTGGAATATTAACAACAACCATCTCATCGCTGGCGTTGCTGTCTTCATTCTCTCCACTAGTTACCAACGCTCTTTCATTCTCTTGAGTTACCGCTGGACTAGCGTCGGTAACATCTAAGGAGCTGTTTCCAAAAGTCTTCCCGAGGACCTCATCGACTTCGTCAAAGTAGTCGCACGTTCGGTCATCGCCTCCAGATTCGAGGATGCGCTTTTTGGTCGTCTTGTAATCGAACACTATACTCTTCATCCGCCCTTTACACTGCTGACCCGAACGGAACGTTTCAAAACCGCACTGCGCGAGTTTCTGATTCAGCAAACGCGCCACCACATCCCAGGCTTTTGCGTTCCTTTGCTGGCTGATGTTTTGGTACTGCTCTCCCCAGAGCGCGATAAGAAAGCGCGTCTCGGCATCGGACCAATTTGGAGATCGTCCCGGTTTGACTGGCATGGCTGATATGAACGAATCAGCACCTCTCGATGTGGACCCACCAGAAGTTAGGCCGTGTCCGTCACGTGAGATGCTCGTAAAGGCGCTGAAGCGGGATTCTGACGACTGTTGAGAGGATATTTGGGTACTGCCAGTGGGTGGGGCCACTGTGCTCCTCTCACGTGACGTTTCAGATTGGAAAACTAGGTTTGATCCGCCTTTGTCAGATCCCGAGGGAGACAGCATTGAGGCAGCGAACTGACTGTAATTTAATTTTGACAAAAACTGTTAATTCGACAGGATGGAAACAGGTGGACATAACTGAGAATTTTAAAAAGAAGCTGTGGTTTTTTTATGCTGTAAAAAAGAGAAAAACTAGTGAAAAAAGACTGTGCTTTGCATATTCTCTCAGTCTCTATCACACTTTCGTGAGAAAGGTTTCAGTTTATTCTCATCCTCCATCCACCATCCAGGAGCAGGCTATATTGGAAAAGTGACTTGTTGGGGATTCTCCTTCAGAATAGAGTTTCAAGTCGCTCGCCAGTTTCGGAGGCTCTGATTTACTTTCCGCGACCAGAGGGGGCTAGCGGGGGGTTGATAAGAAAAACCCCACCAATCCTACGTATGGAGTGATCTCGACCCATGCAAGCAGAATTTTACTCGATTGCTTTATCATGTTCATTATTCCCGGTATATCTTTTTCAAATTTCAACCCTTCTACCGTAAGTATTGTGTATAAATGTATCAGGCATTTTCAGTCTGTCATCAAAGAGGGTAAATAGTGCCGAGCTACATTTGTTTACATCAAATCGCCGTAAATTTTATACAGGTATATTCCGAACAATTTTCGTCGCTGCAAGGTTAAAAATAACACTTTATACTTGTGTGAACGCAAGCTCTGTCTGTCAAATTAAAAGCGAGTTTCTTTCCTCTTAGAAAATAAAACAAGTTGCCGCGTTTTTACGGTAAAGAAAGTGAAAATCACGGAGAATCCAGGCGTCTTTGTGTTGCTCGCTGTTTAATATTTTTTTTGCAATTCGAACCCGCATAGAATGCGAATAGTCTTTGTCTGCACTTCAATCGCTCAATTTGGACTACTTTCAAAGACACGTTCTAAAACCATCACCAGCATGTAAATTCCTCCGAGAAAACGATAAGTGCACAAGTTCTACCGATAGCTTTCTAAAAACGCTTTCTAAACAAGTTCGGGGCGAACCCGATAATAAAACTCGATGGAGACGGATGGAGTCGAAACCCATGTGGACGTGAACATAACGCAAGCGGTTTGGATCCGTTTGCAGGTTTTGTGGCTCAGTAAAAAGCTTGTTTAGGGAGATATCGAAACGCTTGAACTCATACCTAAAATAACATGTATTAGAGAGCTTTCTTACCTGAAGCTTTCAAGGTTTGCGAGCGGACTGCTATCTGGTTTATCCATGTTTGAACACAAGGGAAATCGATACCAGTCAAATGTACGACGCGAAAGTGAATAAGCCTTGTCAAAACTCGCGCGCTGATTGGTTTACGAACAAGACACAAAGAATTAGCAATTCTAAACTGGTGTAGATTTACAAGCGTCGAGAACCAAAAGCGTCCACATCTAGCTGCGTCAGTTAGACTCGTTTCACTTTGAAATTCGCTTAGAAGACGCACACCGGACTAGCTTTGGAAAACCCATTCTCTACAGCAATAAGGGTTTCTTTTGGTTGGCGAACTCAGCTGACTTCGTGGGATCGAAAGAGCTTGAACTCTTGATGAAAATGGAGTATCAAAGTGTTGTTGACACGAACGGGGCTCAATTCTTTCTTTATGCTTTAGCTGCCATTCAAGCTTCAAGGACAAATAATCACCGAGCAAAGCTCATTCGAAGATATCGCACACTCAAGAAGCGAAGGATTCGAACAATGACGGCGTTACTAGCATACATCGAACAACAGAAGCGTATACCGAAATTACCGTCTGCTCCCGAAGCTGGTCCGCCGAAAAGAGTTTGGGTTTTGCAAAGGGATCAATTTATGTTCGAGGAGTTACTAGCCGGAAATCTTCCAGAGGAAACATGGCATCAAAATTTCCACGTTTCAAAGAAGACATTTTTTAAGATTTGCGACATAGTTCGCCATGAATTATCTAGGCAAGACACGAATATGCGACCCTCTGTGTCCTTGGAAAAAAGAGTTGCAGTCGCGTTAAATCGCCTTGCAACTGGGAGTTGTTACACTGCTTGTGGTGTAAGCTTCGGGCTCCCCAAATCTACGGCGAACGTTGTAAAAAATGAATTTTGTGATATTTTGAGAAGGAAAGCGGCCAGTTTTATCAAGTTTCCAAAGAGCGACGACGAAGTACGAAAGGTTATTGGTGGGTTTGAAGACATCTCTGTTTTCCCTCAGGTGGTCGGTGCGTTAGATGGTACGCACATTAAAATCATAGCACCCAAAGAAAACAAGTACGACTTTTTAGGGAGAAAGGTGTTTTATAGTGTTCTCGTTCTGGGAGTGGCAGACAGCTACTGCAAGTTTATTCACGCAAGTGCAGGATGCCCTGGTGCAGTGAGTCGCGCAGAAATGCTACGGAACAGTGCGTTACAGCGTGACATTCAAAATGGCGTTATCTTGAATACTCCAGGTCGTTTGATTGACGGCAATGAGGTGAAGCCCCTTATAGTCAGCAACTCTTCTTTTGACTTGAGTTCTTGGCTGATGACACCCTATGTACCAACACCAAATGTTACCCCTAGTGAGAGCAGTTTTAATGCTGCATTGAGCTCTGCAAGAGAAAAGATTGTACAAGCATTTGGCTTGTTGCGGGGCCGTTGGAGATGTCTTTTGGAAACACTCAAAGAGGATACCCTAAGGGTTCCCACCACTGTTATTGCATGTTGTGTTTTGCACAATCTGTGCATCGACCTCGGGGACAATGCACCCGTTGAGCCTGTTGTCACTCAGGATGACATGGAGCTTTTTGATGACGACAGTGATGACTGGTCAACTATGGAAGAAGGAGGCAAAGAGTTAAGAGAAAAAATAAGAAACTATTTAGACACATATGGGTATTAGTACACTGTCCATTTATGAACCTTTTCTTTGCCATCGAAATTTGAATCATTGTCAGATATAACTTGTAGCGTTACATGTAGCTCAGGATTAGTACTTCTTTAAGTTCTTGTAGTCCTGTTTGTGTTCTTCTTCTGTCATTCTAAGTAAGATACAAGCACAACTTGGAATACAGTTTTGTCATGCAAATAAACAATTTTATAATATTTTCTGTAATATCCACAGTATCTAAAGTAGAGATACCAGGAAAAGATTTTTACTGATCTTTTATGAAGGATGTACTTCATATTTTCCTCGTATAGATTTTTTTGGGAATAACATGTTCACTTCTCCATTCAGTTCTCAGTACATTCTCCCGCCAGCTTTACAGACAGAAGTTTAAAAAATTGAAAATGCACCCTCACAAATTACAACAGTCTGTATACAATCATCTCAAGTTTAGTGTGGAAAATAGTTTGCTAGGTTCCTTGACTTTGCTGATTGTGATTCAGTGTTGTCATTAAGTTTTGATTCACCTGTGGCCTTGATCTTCACACTTGTAGCAAACTTGTTTCCTTTTGAGTTAATTGTATCAACTACAGGCACCTTCAGCCATAACATCAAGGGCCCATCAAAGAGTCATCAAACACACTTAGCCATAGCAGCTGTTATGAATTACAGCCTTTACTGACTGACAGCCTTGTTCAATTCTAGAAATGAAATTCTTGCAGAGAATTTATGAGGCATTGGGAACATTTCCCTTAGTGCTTTGTTTTTAAAATGACTGAACTTAATCTACACCTGGGTTACTGGGCGAGTGAAATGTCTGAAGTTTTAACTTTGCTGGATTTTGGCTAGTGGTTCTTGTGATTGGCTTGTCCACAAGGCCATCTTGAAGATTTAATTTTTTATGTCTCCAAACTTCTCTCNTGCACAAAGAATAAGACATGGATTCATTTTGTACAACTCACAACACTTCTGAAAGAAGCGACAAGTAGTCATACAATGAGCCATACGACCACGGTGCTGATAGTCTAGCTATCAAATGAACAAGATGCCTATTCCTGACTCTTGTCTGTCTCGTATATTAGTGTGAAAATGATTTGCTCTCTTTTCGACCACTGCAGCGTGATTAGAGAACAAGTGGTAGACATCAAATGACCAATACGTTACACAAATGTTTTTAAGACTTAATAATCGGTAAACGCCAAGGAAGCCAGTTCCGTGGTTTCTTCCTTTACAGAAGGCTCTCGTTATTTCTAACGTCAGCCATCTCAAACTGAAGAGGGCGGTTTTGGTAGGTTATACTAGATGAAACCAACTTGGTTGGGTATTGTGTGATACTAAAATTGGAACAAAACCTTAATCACAAGGGCTAATATTGATCCGTAAAAAAGTATAAAAGCTGAAAAGTACTGGAAACAATTGCCAGCCACCCTAAAAAAATTAATTCTGAAATATGTATGCTCAGCATACGTAAAAAACGCCTAAAACGTATTTGGATATCCCGATTCCGTGGGGAGACTCATTACAAAAAGGACGAGGGTGCTTGTCGGAAATTTTGAAAAGAATCCCTAAGAGGTACCAAGATCCTGTTTCATGGGCGTGGCTTAAAATTTCTCTTTCCACCCCTAAAAGGTACCAATTCTATGACTAAGACGTTTTTCGGCTCAATACTCTAAAAGGTGCCGCGAAAGCTCTTGCTGTGGATGTTTCGAGGCTCAACACCCTAAGAAGTACCAAAACCGCGTTTTTAACCCCTAAGGGTACGACGAGCAGCCCCGTCCTTTTCATGTGGGAGTCCTCCCCCTGGGCAACGGCTTTGCCGTCTGCCATTTTATTACAAAATTCTGTCCTACTCTCACTACGTAACGATAAAAAGACTACTATTCCTGCTTCATAATGATGTCTGCATCCTGTTTTTAGCCTACATAGCAATCACTTTGTATAAGGGATATCGCATTTCTTCTACGCTTCGTGTCTTTGAAAACCATTCACAGGTTTGTAAAATTGTCATGTGTTTTCTTTGGTCTATTTGGAAAGCTTTTGTTAAGTCATTCCTGCTTCCAGTTTTTGCTTCCCTTCAATTTGCTAATGTACCTGCCCATGTAACATCGACACCTCGGTCTCAAAAGACCTTTCCCGCATCCATTTCAAAGTGTGGAACAAACAACAGCACCAGAACGAGGTCGGGGCAAGCCCTTTAATACAATTTTCTTTCCCCTGACCTCGACTCTGTGTCATTGTTCGTTGGAATGTGGAACGTCTATTCCCCAGGGGCACTCTATAATGGTTTTTACGAGGGGTGAGGAGGGGGGGGGGGAAAGAGGGGGGCTCTGCCCAAAAGGGGTCCTTTTTCAGGCTGGAGGTAAATAAAAGGGCAGGGTTTCTACAAGTCAAAGAAGAGAAAAGGGTAGGAAAAACTGTCATTTAATTAAGTATTTAAAAGAGCTTTTCCAAAATATCTCGAGCAGGAGTTTCCAATGAAAGATTTGTAGGGGTATCTTTTTAAGGACAAATATTTTCTGGTAAATCCTTTTTGGGTAGAAAGATTTCAGTAGCACTTTTGTTTAGAGTCAGCCGAAGCGTATTGTAGGTAGGTTAAAAGGGGCACCATTTTTTAGGGAAGGTATTTGAAAGTATTACCTTTACTATCAAAACTGGTATATGAAAGAGTAAGGGTTTGGTCCTCAGGGCTGAGCCTCTCTCTGCATAAAATTTTGCTGAGTACCCCNCCCCCCGCCACCCACACACACCAGGGTCTATTCTTGTCCAGTGAAATGTTCTTCCAAGTATTTTCTTAAATCTCTTACCACATCATTTCTATCAATACTTTTAAGAGCAGCACACAGCTGACCCATTGTTAGATCCCCCCTGTTGGCAAAGATCCATTCAAACAGTAAGCTGGTCGGACTCAAGGGTTTTTCTGGATTGAAATCCTTATAGATTTCCTTTGGAACTTTGAACGCACTGGCCAGGTGTCTCCAGTTCTTCAGTGCCTTGTTTGGGTTGTTAAGTTCCACGCAGATACCCCTCATAACATCAGATTCTGGCTCAATGACATTTGCCATTAGCTTTTCACTGTGTTCTGTAAATCAAACAAGTAGTATTCAACTTCGGTAATTATTACATTAATACCAGCTACATATGACAACACCTTATGACTACCTCATTGATAGAAGCCTTGTTTATAGAGGCGAAGAAAAGTTCGGTGAGGCATTGTCTCAATGACCCCATAAATACTGCTATATTCCATGTCCATGGGTTTGTTAAGTTCCATTGCCATTACAACCCAACTAGTAATAAATCGTTAGAAAACAATCGAGTCTTCCTGTTCTCAATCAACAAATAATGGTGTTGTTTGTGAACAACAAAAATTCTGACTTGATTGAATTTTAACACATAAAAATTATGTAATAAACTTAAATGTTTCACGTTCCTTTTCAGCAACATCAAATATATGTTATTGAACTGGCGTGAAGTCCCTATTTGGAAAGTATTGGCCACGTTATTTCTTGTAAGTTTTATGGATCAAGCTGCAGACAGGGCAGATTAACTTGGAAAAAAAAATATATATGGACCAAACAAGCTAGTTTAATAAAGTATTTCTTACAGGGATCTTACAAAAATTGACTACTGATAATATAATGCATCCCTGCGGTCCTCTCTCGGCAAATGCATGAGCCAAAGTTAAGCCTTAATAATTTCAGTTCTTCTGGTTTCTTTCGTGAAGGTTAAACTCAAATTGTTTGTCAAATATGAAGGGGAAAAGATTAATGCTTAACCAAACTGTTCTTTTTTGTGTTAAATGTTTTTAAAAAAGTATTTTGCCAAAACTTAATAGTACGTGGAAAATTGGACTGCTCAGGTAACCAATCACAATTCTCCTTTTCATTCTGGATCAGTCTGCCATATAATGATGATTGCTCTTTTGACACTTACTATTAATGACTTAGAAAATTACTGAAGTATGACTGACCGAGAGCAGGCTAATTTGTCATTAGTTTTTTTTGCAAAGCAGTACAAATAAATAATTAATAAAAATTAATACAGGTGCATTCCTAATTTTTCTCAAGCACCAAATAGATGGGTAATAGTGTGAAAGCTTGAGGAAGTTCGGATTTACACTAGTGGGGATATTTGAAAATTCTTCCAAATTGCATTCACCTAAAGGTTCAAGGCATGTAATTTTGTGAGAATTTTCAGAGTAAAATTAATTAATATTTAATTGCACTTACATTCATATGATTACCTTTACCAATAATTTGACCAAAGTTGACACACTGTTCTTGTGGAGTCAGATATTGATAACTAAAGCTCTGATTTAAAGATTTTCAATGAATTTGAAACAATGGTTGCATTGAATATTGATTGATTTCCAAACATTGGGCAATGTTTGGAAAAATTATCAAGGCATGGTGACCTCATGGTTAGCGCCCTCGTCTCCAGATCAATAGAAGATCAAGTGGTCTGCGTTCGAGCCCTGGATAGGGACATTGCATTGTATTCTTGGGTAAGGCACTTTACTCTCACAGTGCCTCTCTCCACCCAGGTGTATAAATGGGTACCGGTGAACTTAATGCTGGGGGTAACCCTGCAATGGACTAGCATCCCATCCAGAGGGGAGTAGAAAAACTCCTAGTCGCTTCATGCTACAGAGACCGGCATAAGCTCTGGCCTGTATGGGCCACTTGGCTCGTATGCAGACTTTACCTTTTTACCTCACCACTCTAATAATTAGGTAATAATTATAGGTATTATTAATTATTATAATTTAGGGTCGGTTTTTGATGGAAAACCAACACCCCCAAACCAGTTGATATTCAAGCAAGTGTTTCTGAAGGTCAAAATAATGGAGCAACTTCTCTGAGATTTCAAACAAGATAATTAAATGTTTTGAGATTCACTTAAGACCAAAGTACCATTTAGGCACCGCCCACATGTACATGTAGTTGACATTTTTTCTCCATTTTAGAATTCTGTCCACACATAAATGGAGTTTTTGACCTCCAATTACACCACCAGTATTGTTAGAATTTCAATTAAATTGGTTAAGGGGGTGCTCTTAGTAATCAAGCCACTAAATAAGCTTAAAATAAATGAAAGACAAATCAAACGTACCATTAAGAAAAGGTTCCAGTTTCTTTAAAACAAGTACTCGGTTTAATTTCTCTACTTCATCATAAAATTTCCTGACCGTCAAATCATCTTGTTTGGAATAAACATATTCCATCAAGGCTAATGTTGGATTGAACTGGCCATATTCAATCTCTTTCAACTTGTCACCACGAATGTTAAATTTTTGACCGAGGTTTCTCCAGTATCCAACAACCCGTGACTTCCGATCCAACTCGGTGGCAATTTTGTCAATCATCTCATTATTACTATCAGAAGAGGCGAAGTCACTGATTGTTTGTGTAGAATTTTCTGTTGGGTAAAAAGTAACAGACATTGTAAATATAGACTTAGGTATTATTCAATCAACACTCAAGAAAACAGTTAGCAGACCTGTAAATAATAAATGGGCAATATTCATATTTTATAGATTTAATGCCTCGGGCATTCATTTCAAACTTGACCCAGTGTTTATTTGACTCCTGCAGGTGTTTATTTGAGCCCTCTGTTCAATCATTATTTTGACCACCATTTTTGTTTAGCCATTTTACCTGAAGCTTATAAGAGGAGCAAGATGACTATAGGAACAGAACCACATGCATTCATAGAAATAGAAAACCATGCAACTCATTTTTCATGGTCAACTTGGCTAGCAGCATGGATCGGTGGCACATGTACCCTACGACAACGAAAAACAATGATGACATCACACAACATGCAGCCATATTCCAGCTAATAGGTTGACTGAGGCATGCACCCATGGTTTACACATACCTCATTAGATGTTTTGGTGTGTTAAGTATCGCTGTATATTTTTAGGAGCTGTGCCGTATTTTGACGAGCCTGCTGGTTGAGCCGAAATACAAACAATGAGGAAAAATATACACCGATACTACACACCAAAACATCTAATATAAAGAAATTTCTTATCCAACTGCTGTAGTCAATAAATTTATTAGTGAAAGAGGGAGAGTGTGACAGTTTTGTGTGCATACGCAGACTTGTTCAAACAGGTTTTCTACTGTACAAATAACTAACTATTATACAATATCGCTGTATATTTGTACTTGTTTCACATGTTACTTGGATGATTTTTGCTGCAATTGGATAATAAGGAGTACAAAAATTATTTGACATTAGAAAACAGTCCTAAGAAAATACCAGGGCTCAAAATTAAAAAAAAAGTGACGTTGCATATATTTTGCAACCAGTTAAGAAAAGTTAGTCACAAATTAAAATTTAGTCACAAAGCATAAGTTAATTATTAATAAGTACTTTGACTAATAAATTAAAAACTCTTTGATTTTATTATCTTTCAGCAGCTTTTCTTCATTTCTAATGATATCTGAAAAACAATTTCTGAATCACTTTGATGGCACAATCAAGATCGTAAATTACAAACTTTGATCGAATATGAAAACGTATCTTTCAGTACCGTTGTCTCTCCTTCCAAAAGAAGAAGGAAGAAGAAGGAGAGACAATGGATTTAGAATAACTTCACTTAATGGCAGCAGAATGGCTTCAAAATCAGCACAAGGGACAAGTCTGTGTGAAGGAAGAAGAATTGAAGGAAAGACCGGTTTTGAATAACTTTACTAAACGGCGTCAGAATGGCTTCAAAATCGGCACAAGAGACAAGTCTGGGACACATTTGAGGTAGGAAAATTATATTTCAAATTAGATAGTTATTTACTCAATTTTTTTACAATTGGTGACTTTCCCATAAAATTCTCTATATACACAAGCTGTCCCATACACCATGTATGCAGAGTCAAATTTTGAGATTGGGAAGCCTGCAGTTGATTATACATTGTGTTGTTTGGAACTTGAGCAGGATTTTGCCTTCACATTTTCAAATCTCCACATCAAGTAGGACACAAAATTTTCAAATTTTTATTTCTTTATCAATTTAGGTGATAACTGGTCACAAAGGTGCGACCGCTGAAGAAGTTTTAGTGGCAAAGGGAGAAAACTTAGTCGCAAATGCAACCGATACATTGCAATGTTGAGCCCTAAATACACATGCCGATTGGTTAAAAATAGTTTTTCTATAACTTGATAGAAACACAGAACTAGTACAAGCTGTTGATGTAATGATGGCATGAGCAAAGATAATTTACATTTTGATAATGAAAGTTAACAAGTTGTTTTCCTTTTTTTCGTTGCAGTGTTTTCTAAAACAATAGAAAACATGTTCTCTGTAACGTGTTTCTATCGAGTTTTAGAAACACTCATGAAAGTTTGGGAGAACTCGAAAAAGCTGTGGAAACACTTGCCTGTCGCTTGTGTTCCTACAGCATTTCTTGTTCTCTCAAACTTCCACTTGTGTTTCTATTAAGCAATTAGATTGTGAGCTTGAGATTTCTATCGCGTGATATATAGTCGATGAGGGTGTAGCAGGAGTCAACTATCACACATAGAAATCGAGAGCCAATAATCTAATTGTTTTAGTATAAATCTACTAGTCATTCAAAACATTACCTAAATTTTCTTCACAGGCACTTTGAAAACGCCAAGAAGCAGCTGTCATTTTGTTAACAAGCGCAGCCAATCAGAGAGCAGCATTTGTGACAGAATGCTAGTAGATTTATACTAAAACTCGATAGAAACACGGTACATGTTTTCTATTTCTTAATTGGCCATCCATGTTATGGTCAATTGACACCTGTCAAGACAAGGTATCCGCTGATAAGTATCAAGTGACCATATCGTGGGTTGAGCTTTAAAGCTCATCAAGGTCACATGTTTTTTAAAGTTGACCACTGACCAGGTACTGGTTTCTGATTGGATTGCAGGCTCAAGCCAGGTTAATTTATTGTCATAGGAGCTCTGCTTAGGCTAAAAGCGGAGCTCCTGGGTGGGGTTGTTCAAAGCCCGATTAAGATAACCCAGGTTAAGCAAGAATTTTGATTTGAATTTTGTAACTTTGCAGTGAGATTTTCCGTATAAGTTTGGGCTTCTGTTTTGAGTTTGAATAATCCCAAAATACACAAAACAAATGCAGTGAAAAACATTTTATTTTGTATACAAGAAATATTAATTTTATACTTCTGTAAACTTTTAATCTTGGGTTAGCATTAACCGGCTTCTGAACAACCCGGCCCTGTTAACAAGTTAATCTGACATGAGCCTGCGATCCAAAAGAAACCAGCACTTGGTCAGCGTTCAAGTTCAAAAAAACATGTGACCTTGATGAGCTCTAAACTTGAGCCCACAATATGGTCCTGTGACACTGGTCAGCAGATACCTTACTTTGACAGATGTCAATTGACCATAACATGGATGTCCAATATCAAAGGCTGGAGTATGGTTGCCATCTTGCATGACTCTGTCATTAATTGCTGCCATCGTGTGTACGTGACAACGAGCAATACTGCTAGCCATGATAACCATGAGAGGTCATGAAAAGACTTGCATTTTTCACAGGGGCAGTAAACTTAAAGTGCCACTAACCCCCCTCCCCCAATTTTTTTTTTCGCTAATGTAAATTTCCTTTTTCTCCTGATCACCACTGCAAAAAAATTGTTGTACCTATTTTTGTTAATTTTGTATGAGTTTTTAAAGTTTGTAAAATTGCCCTTTTCCATGTTCACGACCGAGGAATAGCGGAGAATGGGATGAGTTGGCTTTTGATGTCATTTCAGGAATAACATTATTTTGTTTCTGAGAAGAATATATGCGAATATACGATAGTGTGTTTCAAAATAGTTGCAGAATGCAAGGAAGATGTGTTGTTGGAGGCTATATATATATAGCAGTACAGGATTGTGTATGATAGAATATTCCCATTAATTCAATACCTCTATCTCATATATTCTTGTCTATCTCTAGTGGAAAGCTTGACATTGTCAAGGTACTCCATAAGACATTAATTTGGCTAAGCTGGAAGCCATCTGACTCAGGGTTTGAAATTAACGGTCACCTGTTGACCAACGGTTAGTGGTTTTCAAGTTTGGTTACTAAAAATGTGCCAAGTAACCCAACATGGTTAGTGAAAGTTTTTGTTAAAAAAAGGCTGATTTTTTTTTTGCATAAGATTGTTTTCTATCTTGAACAATTTGTTGTTCTAAAAGATATGCTTAGAGCACAATCACACAACGAAATACGCTCACTTCACACTCAAGGTAACCAGGCCTTTGTTGGATGGGGAGATCTGGACACAAACTTAATAAAATTACTTCCATCACTTTGCTTATTTCAGCATTTGTTTTGTTTCGGTTTTTTCAGAAGTGGCTCGTTAGTGTAAACTGGTTATTATACAGAACAGATGCAGCAATCGTTGGATAGTTTTATCAGAAAAAGACCGCCGCCCTAAAGTTATGAAGAGGAAACCGTAGAGTGCGAAATTAAAAACAACAACGAACAGGTACAGTTTCAAACAGTGCAGAAAACTCACAGAAGCGCTATGCACGTATGAAGAAAAGTGAAAACAAGAAGGAAGAACTTTTCGCCAAGAATGTTGCAGTTCATTGAGTCTAAACAAATATTGTCTTGCAGTGTTTGTCGTGAATTTCCCTCCCTCACAGACTAGAGCAGTTCCTCTTTCACAGGTAGTCATGCAGGCTTTCCATATCGGAAACATAAGAGCACACGTAAGCATGGTCGAGACATGCTATGCAGCTAAACAGCAAAGGGTGCAACAGGAAAAAGGTTTGAGGGACATTGTACAAGCTTTGAAACAAACACAAACCGAAAAGAAAAGATAATGTACAGTGTTAACTAGTCTATATTTTATTTTAAAGGTCACTATGTAATTTGAACCATCCATATATTAGTTTGTCCTATTTATTTGTGCAATTTTCCATTCATGAACAGATTCTTGGATAATGAACTTTATAATTTGGTTAGTAAAATTTATGTCCACTAACCCAAAGAGTTAGTAGTCCAAAAAAATCAATTTCAAGCCCTGCTGACTTAATATTCCAAGCTCAAACAATCCTCCAAGTCCCAGACAAAAATAAACAATAGAAACTATATAGGTGAGGAAATTGCACATTTAATTAAATGCACGATGTCTTTTGTACTCGAAATTGAGACTTTCTGAATGAATAGTAAACGAAAAGTATGTCCTACAACAAGGCGATTAAGATTGTTGAGGCTTTGAACTGGTGAACTAGCTATGTATTGGTGAATTTTTTAAATAAAAACACACTCATGCTGGACTGGTTGTAATCCGACTGTGTTTCTCAATGGCCATTCTGAAAAGAGAATTAATTGTTTTGTTCTTTGACCTTTGTCTTTGAGGAACCAAACATATCTAAATTACAAACTTAGAATGGATCAAGCATTTATAAATATATGAGGAAAGTGAAACAAACGATTTAGATTCGACTCCATAGCTACCGACGAAGATTGTAGTGCTGAAAGAAGAATGTGTTTGTCAGTCAACTGAAATGCAAACTAATAAGTCGAGGACTCCCAGGTTATTAGCGTACATAAAACGGACATTCAATTCAAAACAACAGTGAAGTAGAAATATATTCATTTAACTGATACTATACTGAACCTGTTTTCAAGATCTTGTCAAAGGATTTTGCATGCTTTACTAGTACAAAAATATGCAAATTTGTGCTACTTGCAATGTTTGTTTGTACACAGTAATTGACTATGCATAGATTAAGTTGGTCGACAATAACAAAGCAAAAAGTTACCCCACCTGCGGATATTGTTTGCTGACATCTCTGCCTATCTCTTATGTTAAAACTATTTTCAATCATTGCTCTGGAGAAGTAGGCAGGAGTGGACTATGACTGCATCGCATTTTAACATGTATTTTTGGGAAAATAGATGTTTAAATCTAAAAATGTTTCAACACTCCAAAATCTGCACAATCCTTTAAGTCAAATTACTAATTCTTCGTATTTGTTGACATCTTTATAACTCTTTAAGAGCTTTAAGTGAACTCTTCAGCCATTATTTGTACCTTTATAACTGAAATGGACCAGCCAATTGTCAATCCTGGTGTAAATTACAATGCGGCAATCTCGACTGGTGACCCGCACTTCAAAATGGGAAAATAATATACACATTGCAGCCATCCAAATTGTAGCTAGACTCCAAATTGTAATGCTAGATGATACAGTACTTTCATTTAAAAATCTTGTCCAATTTTGATGAAATAGCAATCAAAAATACCCAAAAATGTTTTGGCAGCGCTGGAAGCTCAGTCGAAAGTCTCTTAATGAGTGTTTTTGCCTGGTTCCTAAGGTGACGCCACTATAAGTAGCCCGACCCAGACCCCACTTTGCACAGTCCTGAACATACATGTAGAAATTACATGCTTCAAACATCAAAGGGATTTTATCAATCGAGATAATTGTTTGCTGAAGTAATCATTGAAACTAGTAGATTTCATTAAAGGAAAAGAAAATTGGGGGGTTAGTGGCACTTTAAGTGGCTCAGAATAACAAGCACGATTTCTGACTTAAGAACATATAACATACTCTTCTTCCTCTTGTGTGTATTACAGTAGTTCTGTTATCAGAGCATAGAAAATAAAGATGCACACTCAGATTGAACATACCAGCCTGAGGATAAACAGCAGTAATAATCTTCACTACATCCTTTCTTTTGATTGCCTTCAGTGCAGCAATCAGGTCCTGTACAGTTTTGTGTTTCATTTCCACACTGTCAGCTAGATATTGAATCAGCATCTTAGTGGGACTGTAATGTTTGTTCAATTTACATTTAAGGCGAGTCTCCAGGGGTGCATTCACTTCCTTTGTACAAGCCAAGTATTCCCAGTCTTTTATAGCACGGAATGACGTGTGATCAAGATTAGGAGCTAACTTCTCTTCAACAAATTTGTCAAATTTAATATCTTTTTCTATAACATCTGAAACTAATAACAAAATTTGTAAATGTTAGGCAAGGATATAGCCACTTTGCATTTTCATATTAGCTCTTACTAATAGGACGATAACATTATAACATGTCTGTTTTGGAATGAAAAACAATTTATTGTTATTTATTTTTATGAGTTAATTACCAATGGAAACAGGAGAAAAGGGACCAGAAGCTATGGATTGAAATGACTGTGAGAACAGGGGATGGTAGGGTAAAACTTAAAGCTGCAGAGAGAAGGGAGGGTTGGAACCTTGAAAATATATATTAGTACACATACTTACTTGGCAAAAATGAACATACTAGTAAGTCAAGAAGGGATCACTGTGTACATGACAAACAAAATACAACTTGACAGCAAGAAAGAGCCAAATAAATGTAAACTATAAATTAAAGAAAAAAAACTCAAATTTAAGTTAAAATATCTATATCCACAGATGACTTCTCTAACAAGATGTCACATGGGTTGCATACACTGATCAGCATACCAAGTGTCACAATGACAATGAGACAAACGTAGTTAATTACTCTTACAATATTGTTGTACTCAGCTGTTGGCTTCTGATAAGGCAATTTCCTGTCCACACAGTGCACTCTACAGGGTTTGTTTATGTTTTTGTATTGATTAACTTACAAGAAGTGAACTCTAAGTTTCATATTAACCCCATTACAGATGCCAAGCTTTATGCCTTGTTTCTTTCTCAGAGATCAGTAGATTAAACTTTGAAGCTGTGGAAATCAAAGAGACTGTTGGACATAGGAATTTAAAATACTAAAAAGATAAGTCATTCAGTTTGCATCCATAGAGTGAGTGAGACTCACAAACATTGGGCTGCTGAGACCATGCAATGAGTGAAAGACTAAAAATCATCTTCAACTTGAGAGTTCATTTTCTTTACTTAGACTTGACTGTCAACCTACTTACCACGATGGTGGTCATAACTGTTGGCTGCTGGTGTTGGCTGTTGAGCTGTTTCATTTTCTGTAGCCCCTGCATCAACTGTGTTTTCTGCTTCCTCCTGGATAGGGTTACTATTCAAACTCTCGACAGTGGTTTCATCTGGCTGTGGGGATTCTATTTGTGAAACTGCAGCAGCAGAGACTGTTGTCTCTTGGCTAAGATGAGGAGTCTCAATCCTTCCCGCTACAGCAGCATTTCTCTCCTGGCCTGAAACAGAGTCTTCATCTCTAGAAGATTCATTGTTAGAATTTGGATTGACCACTTCATCAGCATTAGCAGGATCAGGTACACTCTGCTCCTCACCTTGAAAACAATGTCATCATGTAACATCTTAATTATATGAAGATAACATAACCTAGAAAAACCGTTACCAAAGTAAGTCTTTTTTTGAGCTGAGTGTATAACAGTATCACTTACATGTAACCAACTGAAAAAATGCTTAACACTGCAAAACTCTTCTAAAAACCCAACTAACCGGTATTAAATGATATGTCATGAAATCCTAGTTACAAAGACGAAACTTCTAAACAATGAAATCTATCATTAAACTAACTTAAGCCTACTACTAAAATTTCAGCCGACACTGACACAAACCCACAGTAAACATTAATTGATGTCTCCGAAGAAATCTCCTCTTGATCCACTTGATCTGACTTTAAATAAAATTCCTCAATTGCTCTCTACGATTCTCTTGGTATAACTTCTCTAGTTGGGTTCTGCCGACAACAACAACCCATGCTAGCTAGCTGAGTCCTTATAATTATATACAATTAATTAATATTCTAGAACGTTCTTGGAGTTTCTAACACAACTATTCATGTAGCATTACATCATAATTACATCATTTAGTAGAATGTTCTATACTGTTCCATAGTATGACAGAAGAAGGTTCTCAGGTACAAACATTGCATAACTAAACATTCTAGAAATTACCAGAAACTTAGTATATTTACAATTTCTTTCTATAACAAGTGGAACAAAAGTTTCAGTGAAAATGGAAGGTTGCAAAGGAATATAGCAAGCCTGCTTCCCACTTCTAAGACCTAAACTCCCTGCATGATCCCTAACTTAGTGGCTCTTATCTCTGAAGTTCTTTCTAACTATTCCATTTTTACATATACACTAAATTGTTTGCAGTGTTTTTTTTAATGTTTCATCCATTTATTGCCATCTTAAGAATCCTGCTTCTCTTTCATCTTTCCCATTTCTTCTCCCCTTTATGCCCCCCTTGCCACCTCTATCCACTCTCACTAATAGCTTTGGTTTCTGTAACATGATGCACTGACGTCATGGTTTCTTCAAGATCTTAAACTGGTCTTTAATGACAAACAAGTTATTGTGCAAAATGACTACAATATTGATTGACATGAACAACTCATGGCTACTGGTTAAAAACCCTGTGTCTCAGCCAGGAGGTAACAAAAATGGCAGAGAAACTTTTTTTTCATAACGTTTACGTTTACTGGTTACACTTGATGGATATTTCTTTAATGCAAAGAAACATTTGCATATTAAACCCCTACCTCCCCATAATGGCCACCTCTGTACAACGGCCACTTTCCTCTGTCCCCAAGGTGGCTCTTGTAGGGAGATTTGACTACATTATATTATTAGACTGTGTTATGTTAATAAACATAGGTTGCATACACTTCAGCATGCCAAGTGTCACAATGACAATCAGACAAAGTAGTTAAACTCTTACAATATTGTTATGCCCAGCTGTTGGCTCAAAGATTCCTGATAAGGCAATTTCCTGTCCACACTCTGAACTCTACAGAGTTTGTTTATGTTTTTGTATTGATTTGTGTAAGATCATTGTCCCAAAATGTAACACTTTGCAACTTCACTCCTTCATGAAGAAAATTCTAAGTTTCATGTTAACCCCATTATAGAGGCAAAGCTTTATGCCTTGTTCATTTCTTGGATATCAGTGGATGAAACTTTGTAACTGTAGAAATCAAAGAGACTGTTGGACAAAAGAACTTATTAATGCCACCAAGATAAGGTATTTAATTTGCATCCATAGAGTGAAAGATGCTCACAAACACTGGGCTGCTGAGACTGTACTGTAGGTGAAGGGCTAGAAATCATCTTTAACTTAAGAGTTCATTTTCTTTAATCAAACTTGACAACCTACTTACCAAGACGGTGGTCATTACTGTTGGTTGATGGTGTTGGCTGTTGAGCTGTTTCATTGTCTGTAGCAACTTCATCAACTGTCTCTTCTGCTTCCACCTGAACAGGATTGCCAGTTAAACTCTCTACATTGGTTTCATCTTGATGTGGGGGTACTGTTTCTGCAGCTGCAGCTGCAGCAGCAGAGACAGTTGTCTCTTGGTTAAGATCAGGAGCCTCAGTCCTTTCAGCAGTAGCAGCATTTATCTCCTGGTTGCAATGTTCATGGCCTGAAACAGAGTCTTCATCTCTAGAAGTTTCATTGTTTGAGTCTGGAGTGACCACTTCATCAGCATTAGCAGGATCAAACACATTCATTTCCCCACCTTGAAAACAATGTCATTATGTAACATCTTTATTACATTAAGATAATATAACCCAGTAAAACTTTACCACTGTGTATAACAGTATCACTCAACCAACAGAAAAGATACACTGCAAAACTTTTCTACAAACCCAACTTATTTATTTAATGATATGTAGTGGTTACAAAGGAGCAACTTCTAAACAATGCAGAAGGGGTGGGTCATGCATTTCTCTGTCCACCACATTTTCAAATGCTCCAGCCCACCCCCCACCCCCCTGGTACTTTTTGACCAGTCCCTTATGTCAAAATTCATCTACCATAATACCTTAAGAATGGCTTTTAAATCAGCATTTGAAATAAATCATGAAAAGCATACCAAGGTGACCCTAAATTTTGGAAAGAAGACATATTTGATTTTACAAGACATGATTTGGTCATTCAGCAACCATCTTGTTGTGAGTTAAATTATTTTACAAGTTACATTTGAATTTATAATAACTAATAATACAATGACTTTGAAAATATAATTCAACAAATAAAACCTGGAATACCTGAAAGCCAGAATGATTGATAACAATAGTGAAAGACATGTAGGATAGCAATGAGCTTATTAGAATCAGAGAGGTGAAACATAATATACCAGTGTTGGAAATTAGTGCACCTGCTCACCTATATATGCAAGCATAAAAGTGTCAGAGAGTGCATATTATTGATCACTTGCCCATTTGGCAAGTATGATTTTCATTTTTGGGAAATTATTTAAGCTTGGATATTGATAACATTCCTTGCTATTTTCCATTTTGACAAGAATATCTCTAAAGGAAAACTTAACAGTGCTTTTTGTACTCTTTTTAGTGCAGAGTGCACTATTGGGATGGTTTGGGGGTTGACATTTGCTAAAGCGCTATGGAAATTAATAAGGTGTATTAAACTTTAATGTTTGTTTAATTAACTAATTTCAATTAATTAATTGGCCTTGCAGGAAGGGGGGTGGGGTGGGATGAGGTAGGTACTTGTGAGCACTGTGTAAAATGTGTTTTACCTACGTTACTTCTTTGATAACTTCACAAAGCTACATATTTGTTCCAGGAAACCCCCTGCTCTCCTTGTGATACTTTTCTCTTTACAACAAAATCAATATTTTTGTCTAAAGGCATGTGCAGATTAATAAGCTTTAGTATCACCTACATATTAGGTAGAAGATACATTTCATACAAGATCATATGCTGATGTTGAGTGCTTTTCCTTGTGGTATAGCCCTACTATGTCGTATGCGTGCATTCTAGTATCATTAGCATGATACAAGAGCGTTACTGTGACTCCATATCTTTTGGAATTAAACCTAACTTGGTTCAAGTAATTTCATCTGTTGTTTCCAAACTACACTAGTGCATTTATTTCATCCTTTTGTCTCTGTCAAAGAGACCAAAAAATTCACATCTGTAGCCGAAACTTTTCTGAGTAAATGGCATTACAACTTGACAATTTGTACAAAAAAACCCCAGGAAATTGCTGAAATATTGCTGCAGACCCCTTTCGCACCTAGACTGAAAGCGTAAATTAATTTAATCAGTCTTTGAGGGGACTTGTTCAAAAATGAAGGATTTAATCTCAGTCAAGTAGTGCTGTTTACTTTTAGTACTTCTCGTTGAATCACTGCTCAGTTTCTATTAATCAATATCAGTGTGTATTAAATTCAAGTAATTTTATTGTTATTGCCAAAGGTGACAACAGAACGTGATGTTCTGTTACAATTTGATAATTAGATTAGTTCTTGTTTATTGGTAAAAAGAACATCGTTCCCCTTCCATTTCTTCATCCGACATTCAACTTTCTTCCATTCATCTCCAGCTGTAAAACAAAAACCACAAGCACATCTTCCATGTGTTTTCGAGAAAACAAGAGTTTCATGTTACATACCTTTGCGAGGAAAATAAAAGTGTCAAGTTAAAAACGTTGGTGTGAAAAGTAAAATTGTCACGTTTACTACTTAAAATGAGTGAAAAGCTGAAAATTGTCATAAAACATCACAGTAAAATTCAAGAGCTGTCTTGACAAAGGGTTATTAATTGCAGGTTATTCTTGGACTGTGAATAAAAATACGCACATGAAACACACTCCAAAGGTCAGTACAAACCAGGAGTGAACAGCAGAGGTTATATAGGAACTGTGTTGTGAGTACTGCATCAGAGCTATACATTACACACTCTGCACTATCTGAGATTGTCTCAGTAGTTTATCTTTTGAGATGTCCAACTAATTTGTCAATAAAACACTTTTAGTAATAATTTTTCATTGAAGGAAAAAATGTCAGTCTTCCACATGCCAACAAATTCAGTTACTGTAAAGTGTCTCCATTCTAGGGATATATGCAAGCTTGGTAGTGCCAGCTGTTCATCTCGCTTATGGTTTTTCAGTTAATTCACTACAGTGTCAAAAGTTGATGATAAAAATGAGGTTTAACAGTAAAATCAGTCTGCAACCCTAAGGACCCATCTCGCAAATATAAATGGAGCAGAACATGAAAGCTCAATACAAAATGGCAAGCTGGGCATCCATGATTATGACATACCAAAAGAACATTTAGTTTGTGAATCATTGTGGAGACTTCTTTTCAGGAGGGGAGGCATCTTTCTGGGCTAGTGGAAATTACATCACTCGCCCAAAAGGCGTCTGTGCTGTCAAAATTTAGTTTCCAACACTGTATACCTGTGAAGGTGAATTAATCAACATGACACAAGTGTGGGACAAAGAAAAATTCTGAGTCCCCGACAGGAATCGAACCCATGACCTCCCGAACACTGCGCGGGCACTGACTATCCACTGAGCTACAAGAACTCATGGAGAGCAAGGTCATTTAACGCTCGTGTCATGTTGATTAATTCACCTTCACATTTCATTACCGAGCTTAAAATTCACCATCTTTATTAACTTATCACTGTATACCTGTTTACTCAAAGACATTCATGCCCACAGTTACTGCGCATCCTTTCTGTACATTACATTCATGTCATAACATCATGCCATGTCAAACATCAAGCGCAGGCGTTAAGGAAGAAATATAAGCAAGTATTGGGCTTGTGGGCATCGGGTGTACTAACTTTGCTTGCAACTCACTCCCTTGGATGCCCAGTGACCCCCATTTTTATTTCCGTAAATCAATTCATTTCCCGATTTAATCTCGTTTATTATCCAAAAACAGGAAAAAATCTGTCCATGAGAAGTTACAAATATTCCCCTTTCTGCTCTCGTGTGAGCGAAGTTTTCTTATTCAACCCCAAGGAACCACATCAGCTCCATAAGTTTACCTCTAAGTTAACATACTTATTTGTGTTGAATTGAGTACATTTGCCTGATCTAAATTTTACCAATGTAGCTTTTTTTCAGTGTGATAGTTGTAAGCTGATTTCATTTTAACATTGCTTTATCTTGAAAACAAACATGATGACCCCCTCTTTTTTGGCTTTTTGACAAAAGTTGATCTTTACCTTATTTCATGGTAAGTTTTAAAAGAATTTGTTCATGGGTACATTTTGGGCACAAACATCCTTCAAGAAGATTTTTCCTTACATTTTTCTCCTAACAAATTCACTGGGAAAAAGCTTAGAAACAGTCATATCATGTTTTAACTCTCTTGCTCTAATTAGGTCATTACTATTGTACACCCTTTTTTTCTTTTGCTAATTTGTTGTCAGTCATTCTGGCTTTCAGGCATTCCAGGTTTCAGTTTAAGAAAGCAATTGAAGGTGGCTGGCACTTCCAGCACTTTTCCAACAGCTCAATACTGCCACTGTAAACACGTTATACCACAAATATTGGTTTCACATAAATGCCCAGCCTTTGGTGAACCAATGATGGTAATCTTTACGGCCTAACAGGTTATCATCCGTCAAACTATAGCTGCTGTTGGATAAGTGCTGGAAACTGTTGCCAGCCACCACAAGGTAAGTTGTATGGATGCAACAATTTTGACACAGTTGCCATAACTACTCACGTGTATCCTCTGGTAGTGGAAAAAACACGGGAGATATCTTTCTACATTCGTCGTCTGTAAAGGTTACGGCTCCAGCAGCCATAAATTCGCCATCACTACGCTTTAAGATGACAGCACCATAGGGCTTACGATCCCCCCTACGTGTGACGTTTTCATACGTTGTGTAAGGAGGGTCAGGAGGTTCATGAAGTTGGTACTTCGGTGATCCTTTCAGCTCCAGCCTTTTCAACGAAAAGGAATCCTGCCCCGGACCATCGTCTACAAAAAGACACTGGAAGTCTTCACCAGTGGTGTTTCCGACACTGGTAGCTTTAAATGGTCGATATTTAAAAATACTTTGGTTTTCGTCGCATTTCTTGGAGGGTTCGATAGGAATTACAACCAATCCGGAATTTCGGGTAATGATCGTTGACTTGGCAGCGACCGACGCAGCAACCTCCTCTAACTTAACTGTTTCCAGTTTCCCTGAATCTAAATTCCTAAAGTACAAGTAATAACCTTCTATGTCATCCTCGGGGAAGACTTTGTCGCCTGATACAAGACAGTAGGGCCAAGGCGGCGAGCGTTTAGTAATCTGCAAATTCTTAACCACGAATCCAGAACCAAGAGTTTGCGAGCGTTGATTTCTGATCTGACACACTCCTAGCTCATCTTGTTTTTCTCTCTGTCTTTGCTTTTTCATTTTTGCGTTGGATGTTTCTCCTTTAAACATCTTGTTTATTAATGACATGTCATCAAGAACTTTTGCTGACTCCCAACATGGACACTGCTATCCACGCTCACTTCGGCATATAATTCATGTTAGTATCACCCAACTAGTGGACTAATGCAAATCCTGCATTTTGATTGGCTACGCTACTAGGAGACTATTAATAATAGCCCTTGAGTAGCGAAATTGGCGCCATCGAGCGTGACTTTTTCTTTCGTTTTATTCCCAAACAAATATTTCTTCAACTTACATTTGCTAACTTTATTATTACCTTTTCTGTCCGACTAGTTGGGTGATACTAAAACAATTAGACCCTTCGCCCTCAAGGGCCACGGGTCAATAGCCCATTAGTAGTGAAGGACGCTTATAGGGGCAGTAACCAATCAGCGTGCAGGGATTATACCACGTGACCAAGATTTTCCCATACATTCTCTTAAAATTGAA